TTCAATAATCATGTTGTGTAAGATGATGCACGTCTTCATAATTTTCTCCAAATCGTTCGCATTCCACATATGTGCTGGTCCTTTAACTATATGCCACCGACTTTGCAAAACGCCAAATGCTCGTTCCACATCCTTTCGTGCAGCTTCTTGGCACTTGGCAAATAACTTCTCTTTCATTGAAGATGGACTAGAGATTGTCTGAATTAAAGTGGCATATTGTGGGTATATTCCATCTGATAAGTAATACCCCATATTGTAATGATGACCACTCACTACGAAGTCGCATGTCGGAGCTTTTTCATTAATAAGATCATCAAACAGTGGAGACCTATCTAAGACATTAATATCATTCTTAGTACGTGCCATCCCAAAAAATGCGTGCCAAATCCATAAATTTTGTGAAGCCACAATCTCTAAAATAAGAGTCGGAACTTTTTTGAAACCATTAGTATGTGTTCCGTGCCAAGCCGTGGGACAATTTTTCCAATGACAATGCATACAATCCAAACTACCAAGCATCCCTGGAAATCCACGCCTCTCTCCCTCTTCCAACAGCCCTGCAATATCTTTTTCGGTTGGTTTTCTTAAATATTGTTCTCCAAATATACCAATTATAACATCGCAAAATCTTTTTAAGCTTTCTATTGCAGTGGTTTCTCCAATTTGAATATACTCATCGAGAGAATCTGCTGAGCAACCATATGCAAGCATTCTTATGGATGCAAGCAATTTTTGTAAAGGAGTTAATCCAGGCTTTCCTACGGCATCAAACTTTAGTGTGAAATAATTGTCATAACCTTGAATTGCTTTTGAAATACATTCAAACAATTCGATGGTCATTCGAAAACGACGACGAAATTGGTCAGGAGTGTATTTCGAATTCTCCCCACTAAAATAGTCTTTGACAATTACATCATGTCGTTTTCTATCACGATGTATATAACATCTCTCACTCGTAGACCCACCATGAAGATGTTTTTTCTTTTACCAACATCGTCGAAACTATTAAAGGGACATGAAGTTGACATGTTTGAACCAAATCCATATTTGTTTCTGTATCTAGAGTGTCATCTCTTGTAAGCTCATCCAATAGTTTTTTAGTTATCGAAAGTTCACAATCACTGCATGATGAACTATTGGAGTCTGAATCATAACCAAAACTCGCCATTTATTCCGTGTTAATCTGTAGAAAATAAAAAATAAAGCCTTGTAGAAGTATCAAAAATATTAAACTATAGAATATCAGTGAACTACATGTTAATTTTGATAAACAAACATAATTAAAAAATAAAACAAGTAAAATGCATCTTATACACAACCAAATAAATAAATATTATACAATGCTAATATATCATCAAAATATACAAACACCGAAACAAAATATAATAGCATGATTCGAAAAAAAAAAAAAATTAAGGTTAAAGTATTTTAAGAGAGGTGTGTTTTACCTGTGAAGGAATTAGAGTTCTTAAGTTCCTGCCAATGGTTTCACTTGAAAGAAAAAAACACTGTTTGCTTTCTTTTATGAAAATTTTCTCACGTTTGATAAAAATTAAACAAAGATGTTTTAATAAAAAACAACCCTAAGAATTTGTTTAAAAGAGGGGCCAAAATCGGGCGCGCTTATTGGACATGTAAGCCCACAATGGAAAATTTTCAAAAAGCCCATATTATTTTGGAGGAGTTCACATTGTGCATTGAGAGACACTTAAAATTTTAAATGTTGTGGACTCAACATCCTTATTATGTGGATTCACATCACCTTTAGTTAATTGACACATGGCAAACTAATTCACCTACAACATACCACACTGAAGATGCCCTTAGTCTCCTAATCCCAAGAGATGTGATGTATTTATAGGATGTATTAAATTGAGCTTCTCCTATTAGGATTATCCTTGTATTAAATTGGGCTTCTCCTATTAGGATTATTCTATAGGCCAAGCCTACCAAACCCAAATAGGAATAATACGTATACTCCACTAAAATAGTATTATTGAATAAACTCCCAATTTAATCCCCGAATTGTATTCGAGCTCCAATAATAATTACTCGTTTTACTTCCTGTGTTTAAGATAATGTCCATCAATTAATTTAATTACTGACAATTAAATTAATCGACATCTATAACCGAGACTAGTACCACTCATCACATTATTATTATATCGGAATAAATTCCACTGGCCAGATTTAACATAATAATCCTTCATGAGTTCATCTCGGGGACATCATCAAACTAACGCACACGGTGACCGTAAATATCCTAACAACACATCATACATGCAGCAATATTACCCAAGGTAGCGGGTCTATTGGCCCAGTTCACTAACCCTCACCCATTTGAATCAAAGTAATAAGTACTACACATATATGCCTAATTAATATCTTACGGGTCGCAGTAATTAACCGAGGCCTAGTACGTTTACGACGATCAGTATAAAACGAACTGCTCCTCTCTGGGATCTTGTTCAATACATAAATGTACTAGTGAAACTAATCAGTCAAGACAAACTGTACAATTGACACTACAACCGTTCACGATGAGGTGTTCATGTCCATCTAGGTTGTGAACCATTAATTCTTGTTTCGCGAGTAACTGATAGAGTGATCTTCGGTGCGCCCGATGACGACCCACCCTATTTAATGCAAAACAACAGAACGTAGACTTGTTTAATTAAACATGATTCTCATTCAAACGGGTTTAGTGTAAATACATCTAAAGCCAAGCTTTCAGTATAAACACCAACAAAAGCATGCTTCTAAATTGAAACTAAGGCCCAATAACTCTGAAAATTATGCAGCACCTTACCACACTCAACTAGTTTCAGCAAGTTCACAACAAAATGAAACCGAACCCATACAACATGCCTTTCTGTTTTCTCTTTTGAACTTTAACCACAGTCAGAATGCTAAGAATAAAATTTTGTGGCTGAATCATAACTCATTAAAACTCATAAAACCAGCATGTGAAGATAATAAAATGAAGCTCAACAATTCATCAAATCAAGCAAGGCAAAAAAACACAAAACATGCTTATCTTTTTACAAAACTACTAACACTTAAACATGGCTCTCACCATTGTACACCGAATTTTAAGCCTTACAACTCATAATTTTCAGCATGTAAACTCAATGAACAGAGTATCGAACATTATATCAAAAACGAGGCAAAACAACAACAAAATGCTAAGAAGTTGTTTACCTTCACCTGGCACGGAGAAGACCGGAGAGATATTGGTGACTGGAGATGAGGGTGTCTTTAGAGAAACAAACATTTTGAACAATATATTTATACAAAATTCGCATAACAGGTCCGCGAATCTTCAAACAACAAAATTAGGGCAAAATTTATATGAAAAAGGTTAATATAGCGATTTTCGACCTCACCTCTAGTCCCGACGAAGAATCCGAACCTTACAGCTTCACAACAAAGTTGTGTCATTTCTGCATAAGTTAGGGTAAAATGCTCGATTTCAACCTTTGTACCGTGAATCCTCCGATGAACGAACATAAATGAAATAAATGGAAATGAAATAGGTAAATATGGCGAATGTGAAGCTCACCTTTAGGACGGGGAATCCGAAGCTGTAACCTTCTCTTTAATGGCGTTGTGGTTGTTGTTGCAAGTAGGGTAAGAATGTCGAGTTGTTCGTCCTTTTAATTGGTATGAAATTGTAAATTGTGGCAAATTAAGGGGTATTTTGGTCTTTTTGCAGCACTTTTTGGGGGTAGAAAAGGTATGTTAAATTCGAGATTAAATAATCAGAGGGGAGTGGTGGAACTTTTTTGTCCGATAATAGCGGATGGAAGGCTGCCACCTTGGCGCCATGCCATTAAAATCCCATCCCAATCCGCTCAAGTAAATGTAGAATAACCGGGACTAATTTTCTTATCCTGTCCCTATCCTTCAAAGTAAACGACCCCCATGTTTAATATAGATAAATACCAATCTCTCCAAAATTCTTATTTTTGCGAGAATAGAGAGCAACATGCTCTCGGCTTTTTAAAGCAAAAATAATAATAATAATAATAAAAAATATCCTCTCAATTTTGATTCCAAATACCAATTCAAGTATCAGACCATTCTCCCAGCGAGGAAATTGTTCTCGGAGTTAGAATTCAAAAGGGACTTGCTTAGAGGGGAGACATGT